TACATATGTGTGTGGGTGTGTGACGTTGCTGGTAAATTGTTTCAAATGTGCGCAATTTAAACGGAATTGAGAAAACCGAACGGCAAAAATAAAGGGTGAACCGAACAGGGATGGCTGCCCCGCCCTTTTGACAAATTTCAAAAACCCGGCTATAATAAACTGGCATTGCCCAAAAAGAAGCACAGAAAAACCGCAGCAAAAGGAAGGAACCAACGAAAAAAAAAGGACGAGAAAATAGAGGAGAGAGCAAAAAAGAAAGTAAACAGCAGCCGGGACAAATGGCTCGTTTGGCTAACCTTTTCTGTTCGACTGCTCTGCATTGCTTTTGTTTATACAAAAGTTTAAATTGTGTCAATTTTTTTTGCGCCATTCCGTCCTCAGCGAGCGCAATGCGAAAAGTTTGGCGAACAAATGAAATGCGGGTAAAAACAATTTCGGAAATCAAGACAAGGACGAGGCGACCAAGGACCGCAAAAAGTGTGAGGATAAAAGCCAACTAAGTATGCTTTACGACAGTATCTAGAGCAGACTCAAGCGACGGGAATTCCCATAGACTCGCTGGTAACCCTAAAGAGACCAATGAAATTCGCGCTCTCGACTATTAATTGCCAGGAGAAAGGGGTTTGAGCACAGGGCCATAATCTCAGAGATGGCCACTATTTGATGGCTGGGGAATGCGAACAAAGCTTTCTCCTATCACCATAGTTTTTGTCGGCCTTAACAGTTCATTGCGGTCCACTGAAGCGAAAATATTTATTTTTTCTGCTTCAATCACTGCGGGATGCCATTGGAGAGATTTACAATTTTTGCACACAGAAACGCACCAGACGAGCTTTTCAATAGGTATATATGTATATACATACATAAGTAAAGCAAAAAATTATATCAAAATGTAACATTTTATGCAATTTGATTAAAAGCTTGACAAACAAGCAAATATAAAGTAATTAAAGTAATTTGTTTTTACTCAAAATTCAATAAAAACTGCAACAATATAAGAGTGAGATGTTTTCATAGGTGGTAGATTTTAATTGGAAATAATAAAGTTTCAAACAGCTTAAATTGCATACTTTTAATAAGTTGAGGCTCTTTTTTTGGAAACTCATTGATGAAGAATTGTTTTTAAGAGTAATTGGATAAATAGTTACATGAAGTTTACAAAGAAAATAATTTTTGTTTCGTCTATCAGTTTAAGCAAGAGTTTTCTGTTATTTAAGAATAATATTGTTTGTGCAAATATTTAAAATCGGATCTCATTTTATGCCATTATGACGCCCCATTGTTGTTTTATTATATGCATGTTTTATTGGAGGGTCATTGAGATATTTATCTATAAGCTATAGTATTTCTTTACTTTTTTTCATAATAATGTTTGTCTTTCTCACACTTCGCTTGGCCAATTAATAAAAGCCTCCATGCAGTGTCATAGCCCCATTACCAATTCAAACAAAAAAAATAAATAAATAAAAATAAAAGAAAACATCCTTATTCACTCAGATAAATGAATTTAAGCGATTTGATTTAATAGCCCACTAACACGGAATGTATATAAATAAATTAATGGAAATATGAAATCTGGGGAAGCATTCCGTTTGGTGCAAATGAAATCGATCGATAGGTAACCCTTAAATACACCAGACAGAGCCTAATGAGTGCGGTGCTTCTGCTGCTGCTCCCCACCTTGAAAACACCTAATTTATTTATTGATTTATGTATTCAGTCCATTTGGGAAATTAGGTTTCAATCATTTTCAATTGATTCCATTCTGGCAGGAGGTAACTTTTCTGGCAACTTTCATCACGTCGCCAGTTCTTGGCGCACGAAAATAGTTTGGCAAACTAAGAAGTGGGATAAAGTCCGCCCATCTGAATGCAAATACTAAGGATCCGAGTGGCCAGCCTAATCCTCTGGCAAGCACAAACTATGCATGCATGTGCGGGCCACGGGCAGCCAAAGCCAAGTTAATACAATAGAACCAACCAAAACTTGGGCTCAGTTCGCCTTCTTGAGAAACTTTTGCCGCCTGTGCTGTCCCTGAAATTAAAGTCAATTACGAAGGAAGGGCTGAGAGGGGAAACCAACTTCTGGCACTGGGACTGGGACTGGGAATGGGACTCTGGAGCTGTTCAGGAATTCAGCCGGACAATTTACGAGGTCCCGCGGGACTTAGCGACAACCGTTACGTGGGTTTCCGGCGGTTCCGGTGACCATGTGTGGCTCTGTGGCTGCGTTTCAGTTTGGCAATATAAACGTCGATAAATTAATTATCGGCCGATCAAGTCATTGTCGCCATTAATTATGGCTCTGGATGGCCTTTTAATAGTTTTTCACACGCCTCCCCGCCCGGAATACTTGCTCCATCGGGCAATTAGACGGAGATGCGAAGGCGGAGGAGACTGGAGACGAATTGGGATAAATATGGCTTAGGTCGGGTCAGAGTTTTATGACAATGCTTGCTGCCTGAATAACGACAGAAGCACTACGTCTGGGTCGTGAATTTAATGCGCTGCAACAGTTAATGATTTTATTGGCACTCCGCTTGACTTGGCAACATCTTGGCTGGGGGACGAAAACGAGGACGGACTCGGCATCCTCGTAAACAGGCGGTGGGGCTGGGAATTTATGACTTGGTCTCATGAATATAATCAATGTCAAGAGCAGGGACCGCCAACGCAGACGCCAAGTGTCGTCTGGGGATCCCCATGCTTGCGGTATTCCCGCCATCCTTCATCCTTTCAACACCCCAGTCCCCATAGCAAACCCATCCCAAACCCGATCTGGACAGCTGAGTGCAAAAGAGGTGCCAGGAAGAGCCCTGACCAGGCGAGTCCGGATGAGCCGTAAACGAAGTCGGGCAGTTCGCTCGTCTGGCTTAAATGGCATTTCAATTTGGCACTTCCGCTTCCGAATCAGCTGCCACTGCCAACTGCCCCTCTTTATCTCTTGGCACGATTCTTTGTCCGTAATGTCCTTGCCAAATGCCAGGATACAGCAGGCGTCTTTCGGCAGCACAACACGCTCACTGGGTCACATTTGCAGGTCCTGCTAGGCGTAATCCTCAATCATTTTTTCACCAAAACCACAAACACTTCGATCCGTTGCTTAAAACCACTTTACTTTTTAATCAGGACACTTTTAAGTGCTGTTTTCGGGTTCAAAAACTTGTTTTCTTAACACTTTTGCAACGTGTCTGAAGGCGCGCGTTCAACCAATGGGTTTGAAAGTTCCGATGTAACTGAAACAGCCAACGGCGTGGGCCCAGTGCCAAATAATATGCTACGCAGATGGAAGCTCGCCGGAAGGACTTTAAAGGACGAGCTCCAGAGCTTTTGGTCCAGAAATCAAAAATTAACCGACATTAACGCAAGTGACAAAAGGTTAAAGCTACAAAATCAGAATCTTTAATGTCTGGTCACTCTACAGCGCAGTATTCTGCACGCATTAAACAGCGGTCACACTAGTGTCTAATGTTTACAATTTTTCCACCTTGGAAATTGACAGTAAATAACAAAGTTTAATTTATTAACGAGAAATAGCTAAGGATGGCCCACTACAAGGGGGCCGCCAGCGAGGCGGGCCGTGCCGCCCAGCTGATGAAGAAGCGCGAGATCCAGCAGCAGGAGATCGAGTTCCGCAAGAAGAAGATCGAGGAAGAGCTGAAGCTGGACAAGATTGAGAACAAGTTCGCGACGCACTACGATGCCGTGGAGCAGCAGCTCAAGTCTTCGACCATCGGCCTGGTCACCCTCGATGAGATGAAGGCCAAGCAGGAGGACATCGTGCGCGAAAGGGAAAAGAAGCTGGCCCAGAAGAAGGACGAGAAGGATCGGGAGAAGCAGCGTGCCCTGGAGGCCATTCAGGCGGAGAAGAACAAGCAAAAGCGACAGATACAGGCGCTGTCCTTCAACGTGGACGAGGAGGAGAATGAAGATGGCAACGAGGACGAGGAGGAGGAGCTGCAAATAAAGGTGAAGCAGGAGGCCAAGCCCAAGGCCAAGTGGACTGAGATGCAGGACGCCATTGTGCCCGTGAAGAAAAAGAAGATCTGCAAGAACCCCGACGTTGACACTTCATTTCTGCCGGATCGCGAGCGCGAGGAGCAGGAGAACCGCCTGCGCGAGCAACTGCGCCAGGAATGGGTCATGCAACAGGCGGAGCTCAAGGACGAGGACATCTCCATCACGTTCAGTTACTGGGATGGATCTGGACATCGGCGGAGCGTCCTGATGAAGAAGGGCAACTCCATCTACCAGTTCCTGCAAAAGTGCCTGGAGCTGCTGCGCAAGGAGTTTATCGAACTTAAGACCGTGATGGCTGACCAGTTGATGTACGTCAAGGAGGATCTGATCCTGCCGCACCACTACTCCTTTTACGACTTTATTGTGACCAAGGCGCGCGGCAAGTCCGGTCCACTCTTCCAGTTCGATGTCCACGACGACGTGCGGATGATCAGCGATGCCTCCGTCGAGAAGGAGGAGTCCCACGCGGGCAAAGTGCTCCTCCGGTCGTGGTACGAGCGCAACAAGCACATCTTCCCGGCCAGCCGCTGGGAGCCGTACGATCCCACCAAGTCCTACGACAAGTATACCATCAAGGACAAGGACAAGAGCAAAAAGTAGAACATCTATTGGGAAATATCGAATTGTTTAAAAATTTCTATTTTTACCCTCAATTTCCTTTAGTAATTGTCTGCAATTGTTTTATTAAATTTAACTCCAACCAAGAAAATGCATTTATTTAAATATATTTTAACAAGAGTTTCACTTTTCATTAATTTATATCTAGAAAATCGAAAACATTTATTGAAAAATATACACATTACATTTCGTGTAAAGAATTTAATAATCTATAATGCTTTGCTAATTGTTTATTATATTATTAGATATAATAATATTTATAGTTGTCTATTTTAAGGCTGTGTCATAGGGCCATAATTAATGTGTCATAAGGCTATAAAGGGATGTTGTGGCTTTTTCCAAATCAAAGTATTTGGAGTTTTCCCAGCGCTGGGCACACTACTTAAAATAAAACAAAAAAGGCCCGGCTAAGATTTCATTTTCAGGCGTCCCCTGAAATAAAATTTTAAAACAATAACTCAAATACCATAAAGTAAGCACCTCCGCTCCTCACCGTATTGTTTTTTTTTTGCGTCTGGTCACTGTGGCTATTAAAAATCCAATAAAAGGCCCGCCCAAGATGAACATTGCGCCCCAGGCGGATATATCTACCGATTCTTGCCGACCATTAGTCAAAGTTAACCGCGTTCAACCTCTCAACGTGCCCGTTTACGACCTGCCGGAATACCTGTGCGTGGAGTCCAAGTGGGTGAGCCGTCAGTACGCTATGGACAACAACTTATCGGCAACTAGAGTCGCCGCCGATCCGATGGTCGTCAATGGCGGCCACACAGAATTGTCCCAAAAGCCCCAGGAGCGGGCAGTCTCCAAAAAACCACAAAACGACGATCTCCCCAAGAGAGAACGCAGCGTACAAACGGAGACGAAGAACACGTGCGACGTGGGCGTGCAGTGCTGCCGGGATGCGGACGATTGGGACTGGGATTACCCCAAGAATCAGGAGACGGAGAAGGGTCCCAAGGATTCCGCCAGCGAGGATGCCGCATTCCTCACCTTTGTTAGCGAGACAACCAGCATGTTCCCCAACGGAATGCTAGAGTGTCAGGTTTGCGGCGAAGTAGCCAGCTCTCTGGCCGAACACCAGGGCCACATGAAGGTGCACTACGGTCCGAGGGTACTCTGCTGCCATTGTGGCCGACAAATATCCCACGAGAAGCTGGTGAAGCGCCACAATCTTAGCTGCCCTGGTCTGGCGCCCAGGAAGTCTAACATGTTCTTCAAGTGCCCGCATTCGTTGTGCAGTGTCGAGTGCCATTCGGAGACGCAACTACTCAACCATCTGAAGAAGCACCGCGGCCGGAGCTCCTACAAGTGTCTTCAGTGCAACCAAAACTTCAAGACCGCCTCCGCTCTGCTGATCCACCGCAAAGCTGTGAGCGGCTGCTCCAAGGCAGAGTACGTCACATTATTCCGCAAGCACAAGCTGCCCAAGGAGAAACGCGACCTCAGACGCTGCTCGGTGTGCCTGAAGCGCTTCAGCAACGAGAGGATTTGCAGCAGACACAGGAGGAAGTGCATTCTGGGCTACCATATAAACCTGAGCAAGGCATTGCTGAAAGAATTATGAACATAAGCATGATAGAATTATACAAGGTAGTCTCGTCGGGTCCAAATCGTTTGGGTTTTACATTTCATTCAAACTTTTAGGCTGTACCCGCTCACACACACTTTGAGAAGCCGAACTAGGGATTATTTTTCCGCCGGGGGTACCTTGTATAATTGTATCATGGAACATAAGTAACTAATTTGTAATTTTGTATTTATTAGCAGTAGAAATCGATAACAATAAGACGAGGCTCCTACGACGCCTGAACGCCATGCGCCTTTTTTAGTCCTTGGAACAGCAGCAGTTTCTCTCGGTTGACTTCCTTCAGAGTCTGCACTGCCAGCTCCAGCTGCACCTTCTTCAAAGCATGTTCGCTGGCGATGTACTGCTCGATGAACTTAAGGCTGACCTCGTCGGCGGCAAAGTCCTGCTCCGTCTTGCCAATGGCCGTGTGGATCTCCTGCTCGATGCCCTGATTCTCCTCTCGGTTTCGGAAGACGCTTCTCAGCTCTGCCAGAGCGCGCTGTGCGGGTGTGATTTGCAGGGCGTCCAGTTGGGCCAGCGTCGGCAGATACTCCACTGGCACTTTGTGAATCTTGTAGCTCAGGGCAATCAGTTCCACGGCATTGGAGAGGTAGTCGCGTCGGATCATATCGTACAGCAGATCGTCGATGCAGCGGTGCCAGGCGTAGAAGAAGGCCATGGGCCCGAAGTGGCGCGTGGAGCGCAGGAGGTCGAACTGCTTCGATTCGTTGAGGTGCTCGAAGACACGCGCCGAAATATTGTGGAACTCCGGCTCATGGGGTTCGTACTGCACAAGGAGGCGATCCAGCACGAACTCGTATTTGTGCTCCGCCAGGCACTTGGCGAACAGCTCCTCCAAAAGGAACATGCGGGGGTTATACGACTGACGGCCCTCCAGGGGGAAATACAACTGGTTCATTCGCTTGGTGGTCTCCAATGTGGCGTAGGCCAGGGTTCCATCGGTCTCCCGCACCACTACCTTGCGCTCCGACTGTCGCAGGCCGAAGGTGATGTCCGTGAACACGTACTTCGTGCTGGCAAAGTCCTTCAACGCCGGGTCCTTGGCAATAATGCGCTCCTCGTCCTTCTTGATCGTCACGATCGGCGGCATCTGTAGCCTTTGCTTGGCCCGCTCCACCATCTGCTGGAACTCGCTGTCCAGCTGCTCGTCCGTCATGAACTTGGTCTCCACGCTGTTGTCCGGCACCGTGCGCTTGCGGAACACCCGGTCCAGGTTCAGTTGCGTCATGGACTGGAGCAGTCTCTGGGTCTCAGCGTCCGTGAACAGCGGCTGCGGATCCCGCTCGTACTGCAGAGTGGCCGGCTTGGTGGGGCCGGTGGCCACCTGGCGGGTGGCCTGCCGCAGGCTCCGGAGCCCATTTACCTGGCGTAGTTGTCTCAGCAGGTGCATTTTTAGTCAAAAAAGCACACAAGAACACACGTAGTGTGGCCTTCCCTCTATAAGTGTCAAAATCCTGAAAAATTGAATTTTCGCGGCTTCTGGCCACACTAAAACGATGACTGTTGAGTTTCTCCCATCTCTATCAGCTAGGATTTCGGTATTTTTGCGGTACCGCACTTTTGGATAAGCTCGCGCTCCTGCTGCGGTCACACTGGTTACTTGCATTTTAGCTGGAAGAAAAATACACGATAAATTGGCAATAAAAAGCAGCCAAAATCAGCATGGACGACGTGGGCAGCGCTTGCGTCGCAGCGCAAAAGCGCCGCTTCTCGGCCAGCGAGCGTCCGGCACGGGAGCCGGTCGTCACGCCCCCGCAACTCCCGTCACCAGAAGCCCCCGAAGAGGAGCCGCAGACGAAACAACGCAGAAGGGAGGAGCTGCAGCAGCAGTCGCCGGATCAGCGCATCCCGGGCATAGAGCACAACCTGCTGGACTTTTGCGACGAGATGCTTTACGAGATCTTCAAGTACCTGGACACGCCCTCTATTATGGCGGTGATGCAGTGAGTCCCCTTTAGTGGCCATCCGCAACAAATACATATACAAAGGGGGCACGTCCAATAGGGATTTCCCGGAATTTGAAATTATCTTATTTTACGAATTGAATCTACTTTGGGATACATAAGACTTATTATTTTTGTTTATGTGCAGAGTATACATATTAAATTTCGGATATTTTACAAACTGCATAAACTTGACACTATTAGCTTCCAAGAGAAACTTACCGGCATGTAGCTCAATATCTAGACATAAGATATCCAGTCCCATGACTCAAGGGTTGTATTATACTTGACCATAGTAATTCAGTATCTTATGTGTTCTTTGTTTAAAAGATTTCTGCTACAGTTCACGTTTAAGTTTCCATTCCTATTGATATTTAAAAATCAAATATATTTAGCTGCTCGCCTCGTTTTGAGAGCTTACTTCTGGACCACCGCTTCTGGCACCGCATAGATCTCAGCAATGGACCGCTACCCATGGGCATTCTGGAGGAGATCCTTGGGCGAGCCACCGAGAAGACACACACCATCAAGATTTGCGGTCCCCCCTCCTCGCAGCATGTGGCCGGCGAGTTCAAGCAGTTCACCATGACCCTGAGTTCCGTATTCCCCAAGGTGGAAACTCAGTTAAAGGTGCTGGAACTCCAGGGCGTCAGCCTGGACTTCGAATATGTGAGTTGCAAAAGGATTCATATGTCTCCTTATGATTAATTTGACTAAAACGGACTATAGATACACATTTCCGAGTTTCCTGCCTCGCTGAAGCGACTAATGCTCAAAGACTGCAGTGTGAAGGTGGGCAATCTGGTCAAGAGTATATTCCACACGATAGAGTTGCAACTAGTGGACTTGGAGGTAAATATAATATAATAATATAAATAAATGAAACTAATTCCCAATTTCTTTTGGCCTTAGGATCTCAGCATTGAGGACAATAACTGGTTCGAACCATATTACATTATGGCCCTCTCAAAGCTGCCTTCGCTGCGACGTCTTAGTCTTAAGGGCTGTCAGATGCTCTGCAAGTTTGTTCCTTACGGCAGCATGGCGGCCCGCTTTGGCTTCCACAAACTAGAGGTTTGCAAGGCGACCACAAAATTTACCTGGAATCCGCTGTAACCTATTTCATTCTCAGGTGCTAGATCTCCGCTTAACGCCCATCAATAACTCGGATTTGCAGTGCTTCAGCGCCATCGAGAATCTTAAGGAGCTGTTTCTAGAGTCGCCAACCAACCTGCCTGCTGAACTCCCCTCTCCGGAGAAGACCAATAATGGCAATGTCAATGACGAGGCTGCTGCCCCGCAGCCGGAATCTATAAAAGTTCTCAACGACGATGAGCCGTCCACATCGCGGGCTGCCATGGAACACCTGCGAGCCTGCAAGATTGCGCAAGGCAAAGATCAGAATGCAGATATGTTTAACTCTGACAATTGCAACGAGAGAAAGGAGCCGTCGCCACCTGCCTCAGCAGTGCCAGCTGCCAATACTAGGGAGCCACTGGCGAAAAAGAGTACTGGCTCCTCAGAATCTGAGGATGAGGACACCTCATCCACTTCGGCCTCTACAGACACGTCCTCCTCAACCTCCTCCTGCTCGTCGGACAAACTGGAGAGTGCAGCTTCTCATGGTAATGGCCAAAATGGAGGTCCACCCGTACGATCGCCACTGGTGGTGATTGCTTTGCCCAGCGTGGCCGCCGACCATCCACCACCTGCGGTGCCGCCGGCAGCGGATGCGGATAATCCTGATGGCCAGAATCCTGGGCCGTCGCCCACGCCGCGCGCTTACATCTACGTGCCCGAAGTGCATCCACCTGGTCAGGAGAACCCACGGCAACAGCCCAATATGGTGGCCATTTTGGAGCAGATGGCGGACCACTTGCGCACCTGGCGGGGAAACAATCCGGCCCACAGTCGCTTCCTGCCGCGTCGCGATCAGATGATCTACATGAATCCGCAGGCAATGGCCATTCGGGAGCCGATGCTTGTGATGCACTCGCGCCGCCATCGATCGCATCCACGTGGGAACTTCGACCAGGTGGTGCAGCATCCCATGTTCTGGAACATGCTTGACCCCCTCGATCGGGACTACGCTCGCCGAATGCGCTACCGTCCAACGACCTGCCCGGCTCCGCCGCAATGCTATGTATCCGACCGCGCGATCTACAGCTTTGGCAGAGCAGCTAGACCCGTGCAGCCGGATGTGGTTTGGATACGGAACATCAATCGGTCTCCGGACAACCGCTTGGAGCGCCTTTCGTTGCGCAACTACCACCACATAACGAATCACACCCTGGAGCACCTGGTGCAGTGCTCGCCCAATTTGATCTTCATAGATGTGAGCGGCACGAGCATAACGCTTTCGGGGCTGCGCCGTTTCAAGAGCAGCAAACCGGAGTGTGAGGTGGTGGCCACGCACTTGACAGTGGACGATGAGGATGGCGTGGAGGTTCCGATTGAGGAGCAGGAAGATGAGGTGGCCGTACAGAACGAAGAAGGACCGGTGGGTGAACGTGATCAGCAGCCACCGCAATCGCCACCGCCCCCGCCGCCGGTCCTGGTGATCCCGTAGTAGATTCCCCCTCCCATATGTTTTTATCATGTTGTATTCCGTGAAACTTTTGTGTGGAAATGGGCCGAGCTGCATGGAGATATTTTAAGACGACGAAGAGGACGACGACATGGCCAAGCCGACGATCCCACAACTCTGGCTACAAGCGAGTGCTGTAGCTCAGCTCTTTAGTATTACGTTCCAAACTAAACAAGCCCTTGTACTATAAGCCGGTTCAGTGCACTGTATAAATCCAAAAACCCAGACTCCACCAGAAACCAATCCTCTAGTTAGGCATTAAAGAACGCGCGACTCCTTTGGTATACGTACAATGAAATGTTTATTTGGCAGCTCTGTATAATGTAAGGACAGACCAATTACGTTTTCAGTGGCTCTGTGGGAAGATAAAAAGTGTAAAAATGTTTGCAGTTCACTGGCCAGTGGCGTTGCAAGATGCCTCTTCCTCATCGGTATCTGAATCTTCATCTGATTCGCTGGTGCTCTGACAGTCGACGATCTCGCCAGTGAAGAAAATCACCGCTTTGGGGATCACGCGTTCCTTCAGATAGAAACCCATCTCAAAGTCATTGTTCAGTATGGTCTGGGGAGTATAAAAGTGTGCAACATTTCCAGACAATATACCTAACTGATCTCACGTGTATGTCGATATAATGGTCATCATCGGTGTCCTCCGGCAAAGTGGGAGGGGAGAAGAAGTCAAAGAAAGATGGTTCGCCTGTAAATGGAGTAAACGGTAAGTGATACTTTCTATTACAGATGTAAATATATCATGAGATATAAAACATATTGACAAGAATATTACGCTTAAACAAATCAAAATTTAAAATATAGAGAAATTTAACATTAAATTTTAAGAGAGCGATATCACTAATCACTACGATGTAGGGAAAGGAATAAGGTTTATCATACATTTATCCGAATGTTAAAATATGGATCTATATATCGGTATCCTGCTTTTTGTACTTACTATTCTTAACGCGGCTTTTTGGTGTCTTCCAATCAATGGTGCATCCTTCGCACTTAAAAATCTCTGCGCCGTCAAACAATAGGGGATCTTTCGGGTCCGGCAGGCAGTTGAAGAAGTACGTCTTTTTCAGAACTTTATTGCTGAAATATTCGTTCTTATCGAAATGGAAGTCTATGTCGAACTTCACAATATCATCCACATAAAGGTGGGATCGAACGTCGGACAAAAACTGTAGGTCAGCGAGTTAATTCTTGTAGCAAAAAATATTTCTAAGTTCGAATTGGAATACTCTTACTGCCAAAATCTCCTCGTCATTCTTGTTTATCAACTCTTTGCACGCGACCTTGAGTACGTTAAGCCAAAAGTTTTTTACGTTTTCATTTGAGTCGCCGTGGTTTTGTTTTCTAAATTCACTAAGAAATCAAGTTTCAGCTGGGTTTCAGGAATATGTGTAAAGTGTGTCGTGTCACTCACTCTAGGATCTTCTTGCGCTTCTCGTAAATGGTGTTGTGGCGATCCTCGTAGCTCTTCTCCATCTTGTAGATGTCACGCTGCATGGTTACATCTAGTTTAAGAGTCTCTAGGTAGAGTTGCTTTAGCTCTGTAATCGTCTTTCTCTCCTCGTCGGTGAAATCGGCGTCCTGCAGATTGATAAGATTCTTAAGCATATAGTAAGGGGGTAACTATTTCACTTACATTATCTTCTGGTTTTGAAAACGTAGTTAAATTTTTCATCTTCTCCTCGAGACTTTTCATTGCCGACTCCATTTTGATTGGCTGCCTTTTGCTAAATTATATCAAATATTCACGTTTTCTTTTTGTCTACGTTTAATTTTTTCGTATTTGTCAGACGTCTGACTCTCAGAGTGACAATGAGGTAATGCGGTAAGGCAAACTAGCAACTAGCACAAATGACAGGGCACACTTTGTTAAGTCACAGCTTAATTTAAAAACAAATTATTTCCGCCTTGTTTTGGGATTTTTAGTTCAGCAAATTGTATCAACCAGTGGAAACCCTCGAAAAACTAATCCTCATTAAATAAGACTTTGGTATACGTAAAATGAAATGTTTATTTGGCAGCTTGGTAAATCTTGTAAGGACAGACCAATTAATGGCGAGGTGCTTTTGTGTGAAAAACAATTGTGAAAAGTGTAAAAGGTGTAAAGGTGTAGAAATTGCTTGTTCACTTGTCGGTGCCATTGGACGATTCGTCTTCCTCCTCGGCGTCAGAATCGTCATCGGTATTCTCAGAGTCCGACTCGGAGGTGCTCTGGCAGTCGGCGATCTCGCCTGTGAAGAAGATCACTGCCTTGGGAATGACGCGTTCCTTTAGGTAGAAGCCCAGCTCAAAGTCATTTTGTAGTATTGCCTGTGCAGAATAAATGTGAGTTAGATGTCCAGAAAATAAACTTCAGCGATCTCACATTGACGTCACAGAAGTATTCATTCTCGGGGTCCGCCGGCACAGTGGGAGGAGAAAAGAAGTTGAAGAAAGATGGGTTATCCGATTCGCCTGTTTGAAGGAGTTAATTTTAGATATTTCGTATAGGGGTCAGTAGTATCACTAGGCTTACTACTATTCTCGCCGCTCTTTGGCGTCTTCCAATCAATGGTGCAGCCCTCGCACTTGTAGATCTCGGCGCCGTCATACGAAAGCGGATCTTTGGGGTCCGGCAGGCAGTTTAAGAAATACGTCTTTTTCAGCACACTGTTGGTGAAGTATTCGTTCTTATCGAAGTGGAACTCGATGTCGAACTTAACTTCTGGGTCATTATAGAGCCGGGAACGTACATCGACCAAGGTCTGTAAGAAAGAGCAAGAGTATTAACTGCCCAAAGGATTCTATCTGATTTAAAACTATAATTTAATGTTATTTTATTTAAGTTAAATTTTTGTAGTTTGGTATGATGTACTTACTGACAAAATCTTCTCGTCCTTCTTGCTGATGAACTCTGTGTAAGAGGCTTTTAGCACCTTGAGCCAAAAATTACTGACGTTCTCATTTGGCGTCGAATCGCCGTGGGTTTGTTTACGGAAATCCCTGGGAAATGTGGCTTGAGCTTGGTTTGAAAAATGAGTAAAATTTGTTCGACTTACTCTATGATCTTCTTGCGTTTCTCAAATATAACATTGTGGCGGTCCTCGTAACTCTTCTCCATATTATAGATATCTCGCTGTAGGGCCACATCCAAATTAATGGTCTCCAGATAGAGCTTTTTCAGCTCGGTTATTGTATTCCTCTCGTCGTCGGTGTAAATGGTCTCCTGCAGATGGATTGCACCGAATCTTTTATATACCCTGCCACGGATTAGAGACTATTTCACTTACTCTCTTTTCAGGTTTCACGTACGGAGTTGTAGATTTGATGCGCACCGCGGCCCTTGTGCGTGTTGGTTCCATTTCTGAATGGTAATGTATGGGAGATACCCCTTCACAAAATGAAAATCAAGTACAAAAAATCCAAAAGTTCCCTGTGCACTTTTTTGACAAATTTAATAACGTCGTATATGCTATGTATGCCTCGACTCTCGGCGTGAGAATGATGTGATGTTTTGAGGTGGTCAAATACTAGCAGCTCTAATGTCAAAGCCCACTTAGTAGCTGCAGATACAATTTTTGGAAATTATCGCCTACTCATTTCCATAGTTTGTACCATTGCAGGGAATTTTAATTTCAGTCAGAAGCTAGTCAACAAGTCCTTTCCTTGACCAGAATTTACAGGCGAGTCCTTTAAGACATGTTGGAGAAGAACAAAAATGTTGCCAACTTTTCAACATTTTATCAGGGGTTACATACTTAAAATTGTTAAATAAGCCAAATGTAAACTGCAAGGATATTCAAACTTCATCTTTCCGAAGTTAGCTTTCATTTTAATTTAAAGAAGATATTCGAACTGTATTACCTGTTTTCCGTTTCTGAGGTCAGACTCACGTGTAACCAAGTATTTTTATACTTTCCAAACTAATAATGAACTCATTAACCAACTTTTTGCCAAAGTGTAACCATCTTACGCATATTGTTGGCGGCTTTAAAACCCCTTTCGCTTGATGCTGCCATTGAGATGCAGGCCATGTTTATTGGCAATTTAACGCACATTTAATTCCTGTTTTTTCCTGTTTATATTTTTGGTTTCCTGTTCATTTTTTTTTTCTTTCGGTTTCTTCAACTTTTCATTTGCCATGTAATTAAGTGTGGGCCAGATGTACACGTGGGCGGTGGTGGCTGCTTAAGTGTATGCAAATCACGTGCTGAGTGCTGCCAAGGGTTCAGCCATCGCCTTCTGGCCAAGAGGAGAGAGTGAGAGTCTGTTAAATGGACCGAACTCGGTTCTTGGTGTCCTGCTTGTTGGGAATTCTGCGAGTTTTCGGTTTGTCTTTTGTCGCTGGTTTTAATAAAGCGGGCCAGGCTTAGTGCCATATGTCAGGCTGTGAGAAACAATGGAAAAACAAGTAATTTTGTTGCTGGGCAAACGTTTCAAAATGAAATTATGAGTGGGACCGCCGCGGCAAGAAAAAAGTGTAAACAAATTTAGCCAAGCGGAAGTCCGGACAAACACAAGCACTCACACACTCGCACGGGGTCAGCCACAGCGGATGCGCAGAGGTTGGAAAATGTGAGGAAAAGCGAGATCGCATTGTTTGCTCAGAAAATACACATGGTACATGTCCCGTATTCGCGGGACTGGACATTCCCCCTTCGTGTCCCCCGTTGGTGTCCTCACATTTGACATTATTAAATTTTTCTCCTAAATACCGCTGGGAAATTAAAAAGAAATCATAACGCAAATAGTGTACGTCAGGCAGCCATCTGATGATGACTTCTTTGGCTGGCCAATTCCGAGATTTATGGGATGTATTCAGCTTAAAGCTCTTTTTAAATTTATGGTTTATATGCATATGTACATTCACTTCATGTGTGTCACAGATATTTCCATTAAACAAGTTCCGACTAAAGTTATTATACATTTTTTAAGAGTTTAGGTTTAGGTTCTTTTGAAGGCGTTGTTTCCAACTTGGTGTTAAAGATGCGTATGTTAGAAACGGGTCTCTATATTTATTTTTATATTTGTTTTGTTAATTTTATAAAGTTGTTTAGTTATCCTGTCTGGTGACACTTTTTCTCAGTGCACGGACTCTTTAAGTGCGAAGCCATTTAAGCTGTTCAGGCATTTTCAATTTACATTTCGGTCATTCAATTAGGAGGTGCATAAAATTTAGCTACATAAGTAATGGAGAGCAGCCTCATCATCATCGCCATCAGCAGCCGGGGGGATCGTGGCCATCACCCACGTGATTGCCGGGCGTCGGAGGTCGTCAGTGCCGGCAGCGTCAACATAGTTTGAATTTAATTAAAACCAAAATTAGTAAAACCCAGGGCAGCACGGTTCGGTCCGGAGCAGCCCCACCGGTCGGAGCAACAGTTACTTTGCGCAGGGATTAGAGCTCCTGCTGTTCCCGCATCTCCTGCCGCTCTTTGCCTGGGAAAAGTGCATGTCTGCAGAAAATCGAATCAGCAGCTCAACATCCTCATCCCCACGAGTCCCACGTCCTGGAGCCATCCACCTGGCTGTGAAGCTCGGCGCCGTGCCGAAATATCTGCAACAAAAGCATAAGATGTAGTGCAGCATTTGATGATGAAACGACGTGTTAATTAAGGTCATAATAATTCAACTTAAATTGAAAACTTGCCCGGCTGGCAACGTAACGCAGCCGCTTTATGGGGCCCATTCCCAGCTGCCACTCTGCCACGCCCCCATTTTCGGGGCGGAGCAAGGGCATCCTCAGCCTGCAGGCTAAGCTGATTGCAACAAATTATTTTGCACCTTGGTTGAACTTTCCTTGAGCTGCAGACAGCATGGCGTTGATAAACGAATTTTGTTAGTTTGCTTTGCTTATTTTAAATGGAACTAGGTGGCTGGGTGGCTGGGTGGCTGGGTGGCTCGGTGGCTAGATGGAGCTGGACGAATAGTGCTGTCCAAGGGGAACAGGGGCCAATGTTGCCTTTGGTTTTGCATAAACCAGACAACGCATCTAATAAGTTGCAGCTGTCGGTTTCCAACCTCGCCCCCTGCACCAGTTGGTGAAAGAAGTTTAAAGTTTTTGCCCGGCACCGCCTAATGCCTCAAAGTGCAGAGCTGTGTTTGCCATTAAATGTTATTAGTTAAATGATAATTAACAGTTGGAAAACTTGCGAAATATCTCCAACTAATTTGCATAGCCAACTAATTGGCTTAGAGGGTCATTGGCGTAAAAACCTAAACGAATGAAAAGGTATTTTAATTGGACATCCAGTGGTGGAATGTAATAAAAGATCCTTTAAATTCAATTTTAATGAGCAGCCTTTTATAAAGGTAACATCCTTATAACTAATAATTCTGGAAGATTAGCATTAATGTGCTTCTTTTAGTCTTTCGTTTTTACTGTGTAAAATCCGGGGGATAGCTTGGTGTGGCGATGCTGCTCATAATTAACAGCCATACACCTGCAGTTTGTCTTACCTGACATCCTAATTCGAATGCTATTCATAACCCTCACACATACCAACACACACCCATATGTTCACACAAGGAGCAGTGCAGATCCTTGCCAGCCGCAGGATAGTTTGGCACCAGCTTCCTTGGCGCCCGCACCCCCGTCCGGAAACTTTTTACTAATTTACATTCATTACACACATTTGCAATAAAACTAGAAACCCAACTCGTACACAAATTCAGGCACAGGACGCCCACACACACACACCCGGGCCTGTGCATGTGAAGGATGCAAGTACATACCCGCACTACTACATTGACATTTTACATGCTTCATTAGCGTGTAAGCGCGGTAATAATGAAATTTCCTTATGGCTGCTTTTCCACCTTGTGGGCTGCTCCTTGGCTCCTCCTTGCCTGCATATTGATGCAAAGTTTTTGGGGCCGCAAAACTTGGGGCTACCGGGTAGCACTACATCTCTGGCCGCAATTTATGTTGTTTTCCGGCACCTTCGCTCTCTTTAAGCAGGTTTAAGGTGCAACATCTCCTTCTTCCTTTTGGCCGCTGATTGCTCCACTCCGGCAGTACAGATACAGCAACTGAAACAGACAATGACAATCGAAATTGCTGGGAATTTCGACAATCAAATCAGCCAACAAGACAAACACGAAAACATAAAGTGAAGACATACAAATTTGTCAGCAGTCAGTCAAAAATGAGCAGCGGAAATGATGGCAGCGCTGGCGGAAACGGAACGCGACAAGGTGGATGGATGGCTGCTCCGTTGGAGCGGTGGCCCGGCAAGAAGCTGGGCCTGGAGCTCGAGCTGTAGCCGGGGCTGATGATGGTGGAAAATCAGCTGCACAGCTGATGCCTCTGCTGCCACATGACCTCCCCGTGACTTTTGCCTGCCTGCTGAGCTGCTGTGCTGCTGGCTGAAATTAAAATTGCATTACGGGGCAAGGGCTGGGGCGGGAAAAGTATTGGTTCAGATTTGGTTTGGGTTTCGCCTTGGATCGCCTCGTTTCTGTGTGCTGATGCCCTTGGTACTGCACACAGAAAATCCAGAGCCGAGACTCGATATATTTTAATATCATACATTTCCTGTAAGCCGCAGTATGTTTGAGAAGTATAGTCTACTGTTTGAAGCTGCAAGCTGGGAAAACTATAAAAAGTTATCACGGGATCCTAATGCTTGTACAAACCCTTTGAAACTTGGTATATAATATGTGGGCTTTTCATTCATTACTAATAGTTTTAACTGTTGTATCTGAGAAACCAACGAAACTATAAAAACTATAAAAGCAGTAAGGAATAAGAAATGTGTAGAATAAGCTTCTTTTAAGCTCTCGGTAGTTTTAATATTTGTAGGTTTCTTATTTCTATCATTTGCAGTAATGGAAATCCATTGGTCACATTTTTCTCCTCACTGTACTCGTGTGTTCATGTGCTAGTTCCATAAATATTTCAATATTTGTGCACATTTGAAGCTGCTTAGCCACGCCCATTGCCAACAGACCGGGAGGCAAGTCAGGCAGGAAATAGTTTAATTAAAATTCCTTTGGCAATGTCATTAAGGGCATTACATTTTGTAGATGCTGCTGTTGCTGTGGATGCTGTTGCTGCTCTAAAGGTATTTGGTGAGGCCTGCCAGGACGAAGGACATTTCAATAAGACGCGGAGCAGCAGCCAAGCCGGGCAGCCAAGGACCAATGAATTTCATTGTTTTCGCATGCAAATTTGCAATGTGCCAAGCCGAACACAAAGGCGTGGGGAAAGTCACAAAACACAAAGCAGCAAACAAAAGTTAAACGGGGCGATCCTTTAAAGGGCCATAACGGCATGTAAATTCCTTTAGCACGCCCCATCGATATTGTTTCCCAGCGTCGCCCGTCTCCTGCCTGCCAATGATGATGAGAGGTCCCGCTGAAAAGTGGAAAAAACAAGGGCATAAAACCTAAATGCAAATAGCCAAAGGTTCGATGTAAAAAACGTATACACAATGCATATAAAAGAGCAAATAAAAATGAAGAGAAAAAGAACAACAGCAACGGAATGAACAAAGAAATGCTGGGAAAACAACAAGATTAAAATGAAAACAATCATGACAATCAGGGACCGCAAATGTCAAATTAAATTATCAATAAATTCCCACCAAGGAGCCATGCCGGACGCAAATTCGTCCTTCTGCGATGGCACTGGCAATAGCAAGTATACGCCACCGTCGCGCAGTACAGCATGACCATCACTCCACCCTGACCATCAGGACCATCAGGACCATCAGGCCCATCAGGACCAGTACGAGGAGCCGGAGCAGCAGGAATGGACATCACCACCCCGCCATCGATGGAGGCGTTTGTAGCACATAATGAAATCATTTACAAAATGAAAACAACAGCAGCAGAAGTGGCAGCTACCAAAGAGCACTGCGAAAAAAGCACAAAAGGTCTTTGGGTTAATCTCTTTTAAATAACATAACGTTAAAACCAGAAATGTAAGTAATTTTTTTTCAAAAGAAATATACAAATTGAATTGTGCTGGGAGTACACATTTTTTTATTAAATCTGATAATAAAAACTACGATATGTTGTCGTTTTTCTACATTTATGTTTTACTACTAACCTAGATACCAATTGTGTTGATTTTTATTTCAATGTTGGCATTTTCAACAAAGTTGCTGTTGAAAGACGTTTTATCCTCTTTTTTATATGCTTGTATGTTAAACAATACAATTACCTTGCTAATTTAATTTAAATACAAAATACAAAATATAATTAACATTTTTTTCAACTGCATCGATTGAGACAGCAGCAAAGCGACAGTGTGCGTATTTAGAATGATTTCGCCTTGTGGGTTGTGTGCGATGTCGTTCCTCTTACGGATGCCCGATGACCATCGTCCAATGCTCAACGTTCATTGTCCATTGTCCGTATCCGTGGTATTCCGGCGCACTCGTCACTGGGGCGAAAAACAGAAAACTTTGCACGCCATTGAGCTGACGGCGCTCTGGCAGTGGGAAAAAGAATGGCACACTTGCAAATCATAAAACAACAGACGCGAAGAAAATGTTTTTTAAATCTTCATAAATATTCATTATGGTAGCGAGTGCTCGCCAGGACTGGAGTGGGCCATGGCAAATAGTTTGGGGGCAGCCAGCAAACTGGGCCTTGGCCACGGCCATTGGACACTGGACACAGGACGCTGGCTGCTGGCTGCTGGACGTTGGATCCCGGCCAGTCCGGCAGGATAAGGCGGCAAGGACGGCCACTGTGGGCGGTAAGCCTCATTTCGCAGATGGCGGTACAAGAAGTTTGCCAGAAAACAAAAACAGAAACGGCCAAAATAACAATAAACTGGCTCGAGGAGCGTAAGTAAGGAAAAGAAAATGAATTGAGGGCGCATCTCAAGTGTGTGGCGGCCTTGAAGCGTGAAGATGAGTCCCGAACCCAAGCCCGAGTTCGACTCCGACGCCGACAGTTCATGTCCATGGTCGAAATGGCCAAAATGGCCAAGATGTCCGAAATGGGCCCTGGAACAGGACCAGACAAAAAAAAAGCATTCAACTATAAATAACAAGTAACACCGCAGGACAGAACGGGAGACGGCAGAACCACAAAGCTGTCAATTAGCCGAGCATCTTACTTAATTTTTCAAATTTTTCTTGGGGGGAGCAATGTGGTAAAAAACCAACAAAAAAATATCAATGAACTCAAGTTAATCGGAACACCTATAGTATTGTGTTTAATGTTTAATTTTAATGATAAAATCTTAAAAAAGGGCTACATTTTTATGTCTGCGTGATATATGTACATAGCTAGATCGAATGGCTTCTCCGAAATCTACTAAATCCTGATGAACTATTATTGGTAGTAAATTGTATGGTAATTTTTAATATTAATTTTTAGTAAACATAAGGATTATCTCTATTCTAAGTCTAAGAAATCTAAAAAATGTTTAAATTATTCCACCGGAAAAAATTATAAAAAAAAAATAAAGAGAAAATTTCCCTTGCTGTTAGAAGCAAAGGGAAATGTACACAAAATGTTCAATTTAAATCAAAGTCAAGCTTTAAATAGCTTAAAGCTTTTTAATCTTAATGGGATATTTTGTGACAGTTCGTCTTCAAACAAAATTAATAAAATTAAAACATTTTAGCCGAGGAAAACTTACCTAGTAATGAAATATAAAGTAAATAAATATTTTACCAAGACCTATCTATATTTTGTCTATAAGTAGATTTGTAATGAATAAAATAAATTATAAAGAAAATCTTTTCATATTTCTATATTTTTAATTTAGTTAATAAAGAAACATAACAATAATAAAACAAACAATTTAACAATTAATAACAAAAGTTGTGTAAAAACTGGAACAATGTAGTCATGTCTCAATTTCTGTAGATCAAAATAAAGCCATCTACGAGCCTCAAGTCAAGCTATAAAATAATAATAAATTGAAGGTCACACAAATCAACTCTGTCGGCTAATTTTATATAAATAACTAAATAAGTGTCATAACTAAAATTTAAATATTTGTGTAAATTAAAATAAAATGAAACATTGTGTTTGAGTAACCGGAATTGGTATGCAAAGAATAAAATCCACAGTGACCCCGGTATTCTCTCTTAAGTTCCACATAAACCACCCTCTTTGCGTGGGAAATTCTCTCTTTGCGGATGGCACACATTTATTGCCGTAGTACAAACGAAAAGAGCAGCAGCGAAAACTACCGCTAGTTTCCAAAGCAACAACAACAACCACAGCGGGCACAAGAGGCTGTAATACCAATTATATTGTGCTAGCCGTTCGTACGTAGTCCTGGCACCCACCTCCCACCACCCACTGCACTCGGGTGCGTCCTTTCGGCTAACTGTTGAATCAACGAGTGGTTGCCGAGCACCGCTTCGGGCGGGTTCGTGCGTCAACCGATAAGGAAAACGGTCTTTAACTTCAGTTATATTCGAAACGCGAAAGCAGACGGTTGTGCTCTCGTCCTACTGCCATCCGAAGAGTAAAATAAATAAAGTAAAAATTTTAATTAATTCAACGAGTTAATCAAATAATTCAACTATCGGGAATTAACTTGGGAAATATTCAATTGTCACTGTCGGAAGATTGAAAACTGTAGTAGAAAAACTACGTGATTGAAATATCTCTGGTAAATCAACTCTTAAACTCTGTGTATTGTCGTTGGCAAGGGTAGTTAGTGTTGACGATAAAGTGGGATAAAGATATAGTGTGAAAAGATTTGATCGTAATTTATAAAAAATCTACTTATTGTGCGCGATTAACCGGCAAAGAAAATCGCGGTTCGCAGATTTCGGTTCTGATTCGAATTTGCCTCTCGGGTGGTCCTTCACCGTTACTTGCACCGTTAACGCGCTCTCTTACCATTACCGCCACTCGCATTCTCTCTCTCTCTCGTGAAATACCGTTGTCCCCACACCGCTAGACAGAAATTTAGCAACTTCTTTGGATCCCCAACAACACCAATTACCACGATTTGTGATTAACAGAAAAAAACACAACACGAAAAGCAAAAGCAACAGCAAGACGAAGATTTTTAATTAAATTAAGAGTGAAAAATACCAGCCACCGCAGAAGCAAATGTAAACAATCAGCACCGGAAATTAAATATTTAAATATTTGCTCACGGAAAATTGTGCCGCATTTTAAATTAGGACTCCACGACAGAACAGACCCGTATGCATATTAAAGTGACGTATCCGCATCCTATGTGTGTCCCCCCGGTGATCCTGTGCCGTTCCGAGTGTGTGTGTTCCAAGCCAAACGAGCCATAAATAAAGCCAAGCAAACAAATAAACATACGAACAATCGGGTCAAAGTGCTTAGTCAGGCTAAAAGACCCAAAAGCAACAGACCTACTATTTTCATGTGAGGTAAGTTCCGTCACCTGTTGAGAGTCGAGTCCGAGCGGAGAGTGGCGGAGTGGAGTCCTTAATACAATTATTCATATGCACATCCAAGTGGATCCCCGTTGACGAGCGGCATTCAGGAAATAAAGCAATTGCACAATTTAATTGCAGACATTGTTTTTGTTGCTCAATGCTGTGTCTCTGGCCGCATATTTAATGGCCGAGTTGCAATCATTCAGCTGCATAATTAATATAAAATAAAGCTATGCGATTTTCGCAATCACTCTGAATTGTTTTTTTGGTCGCTGCATTATTGTTTGTATTTTTTAACAATTAATTAAAAATATGTATGCTGTGTTTTCGCACTTCAATTGCTGTCCACGTTCTATTTTATTTCTCTTCACATCGAGTTTATCATTTTTTTCCCATAAATTGTCATCTGCCGTAGGCTTTGGGCCATGGCAAATTGCAAATTGCAAAAGGTTTGAAACACTGTGTAAAATTGAAGTTTATATAGAAAACAATTATGCGCCAGTTGCAAAAACATCGACCAGCTCTGATTGGAATGGCATAAATCCAAAGGAAAAAGCAAAGCTCTCGATGTGACAATCACAGTTCGTTTACTCGCATAATATGCCACACCGGCTTAACAGATTGATATCTATATGAATTATGGATGGCCCACAGGCATTAACTCATATTAAGCTGACAGCTTTAATTCTTTAATGAAATACAATTTCCATCTAGGACTTTTACTAATTTGTTTAGATTGAAGAATCGCAGTACAATTTTGCTTAAATTTCCCTCTTTTGTATAGTATTTTCTCTGATTTTACCTCCAGAAAATCAGAAACCAGGTCAAAAATCATTTTTAATATAATATGCTGCAGGACAGAGAGCCGCAAACTGTTTCAATGTATCTGCGAGGTGAAAATTGGTTTTAAAACATACATAAATATACACGTGTCACACGCACACCCTCACTCCAATGTATCGGCAACTTTAATTTCCGTTTAAACAGTGCGACCAGCAGTCGGGGCTTAAAATCGAAAGACATATCAATAAATAAGTTGGACCCGCCCGCGGAGGCTATATGGAGGAGCAAACACCCAGCATATAGTACAATCAACACACACACACACACACGCACGCATAAATAAGTCAACGCACATAATGGTTAAATAATTAAAGGCGCTCGAAAGCCACAGCAATCTCGTGGCATAATAGTTAAAAGACATTCATATTTATATTTATCGGGCGGGACTCGTCGGTTGGCCTGGTTCGGCAGCCATTATTCAGGACCCCAGAATGCTGGAGTCCGGATCCTGCATCCTGGCCAGGCGCAATTAATTCCCATGCCCCCAAACGGCGCGGACAAAATGCAATTTAATGTGAGAGCAGGCAGAGGCAGGCAACTCTATTAAGTTCCGATTGTTATTCAAAATTCCTAATTCAAACTCGGAGCGCATAGCTCATGTTTTTGGGGGCGTGTGGGCGTGGCTGTTGTGGTAATTGTTTTAAAGCATTCATACATAAATTTGGCTAATTAAACATGACCGCACGCACAAACACACCAGCACAAACAGAACGTACCGGCCAAAATGGAATTACGAAAATATTCCATAATAATGGAATAATGTAAATAGTTGCATCCACCAGGATCCATGAGAGTGGGCGACCACAGACAAGCAGCTAACCAGCCGCTCCATGCATATGGCCGCCTATATTGGCATCGACGGTAATAACAACAAGCATAATTCATAACAATAAAACGAGCCATGTCGAGTCCCATGCACGCACTGGCTGCAATTGGCTTTAATTCAATTGTCCGTGCATCGATTGGTCCTTGGTTATTACCTGCTACCGCTCCCGATCTGGCTCCCACGTTCTCGTCCCAGTCCCAGTCCCAGTCCTGGCCTTGTTCCTGTTCCTGCTATTGCCATTGATAAATGTGAAGTCTGGCAGGAGAGCATGGAACGCTTCAGTTCATTCGCCACACGCGCTGGCATTCATAATTAATTGCCAACATTTAATTACAAATTGTATTTGCCGGATGAGAGATTAATAGACTTGCCAGTCTGGGCATATTCGGTTACTTAGTCACTAAGGCAGCGGCTCAAGTACACACAAATGTGGGAAACTAGTGGCAACTCACAGATAATCTCGATAATCACTGTGAGATCGTGTGGAATATTCGCATATTGGTAGCTTTTGAGTCTGTAATTCTAAGCTTCTTACTTATTAGTTTATTCTGTGTCTCCTAAAAGACAGGGCGACGAACATATTGCATTTAAATAACTAATTTGATCCTCTTATTCGAACATTTTAATTTCTCTTTGTTATCCTTGGCTTCTTTTCTTTATATTTCAAGTTCCCCCTCTAATAAATATGAATTAGCTTTTTTTTCGGGCCAGCTCACCTCACCCATTTCACAGTTCATTTTCTTTTCACATGGATACGCGGACACACCAAGGTACCATAGTTTTTGCTCTATCCAACCAGGGCTTGCGCCATTCTCAACTATTGACTAATTAAAAAAATGAACGAAGGGAGAACGAAATCTAGATGCCATAATAAGCAACTGCTTCGGCTTCGGTTTCCCCTTCGTCCTCCCTTTCTGGTTCACGGTTTCATTTGCCCAGTGTGTGTTTGCTTGATGTTAAAATTTCTGGCTAAATGGCAAAAGCAAAATAAGGAATGTCCATGCCTCGTATAAAGAGAGGAGCCGCAGTAGATTTCTCGTATTTTTCCAAATGACCCAATAAATTTGAGCTCATTATGACGCCGAGCCACGCTCGCCTCTTCCCTCCTTTGTTTGTGGCCAGCTGAAATAGCAAAAATAAAAAAAAAAAAAAGGCCAAATAAAAAAGAAACAGAAATTGTAGAAGCAGCGAGTAAGTAAAATAAATGTGGCAGCAATCGTAGCGCGAGAAGGAAAATAAAAATGAGCCAGCAGCAGTGGCAGCAGCAGGCAGACCAGTCCAGGTAATTGCTGAAAGAGGGCCAAGAACCAAGACCCAAGGACCAAGAACCGAGGCAATGAGCGCTGCCTGGCGCATAATGAGCGTGAAAATAGTGAAAATATGAAAACGTCTTCGGGAGGGGAGTTTGGGCGGAGAATTACCTGGGGGTAAACACAATCTTTGATTTGCTAATGGCTAATTCTGCTGGCGGTGCAGAAAAGTATGCTATGATTTCTCTTATTGTCAATATTTCCCAAAGTGGACGTGAAAAAATCTGGGCAAAGGAAATTCGAGTATAATAAGTTTACTTTTCTTTCTAATTTAAGATTACAATTGCGAGAACTATAATGATCTTTTATAAAAATGTCAAATTTATTCATTGTTGTACATTTAAAGACTTGTGTTAGTTGTACATAATTTAAAATATAAATAAATCGATAATTTTCCTAATAAAATATATTAAAATATGTTTGCGTTTGTATAAACATTCCCAAAATTCCTCACAGATTATGTTTAATACATTTTGTGGGCCAGAAATTGTGCTACTTCAAGGAGATTTCTGGTTACGCAAACTATGCCGAGCATCCTGAAAATGAAATTTTGCCTCCTGTGTATAAATTCACTCTGTGTTTGACGCTTGATTTCACAGTATTTGACCAGCTTCAAATTATGCTGCAATTTCGGTTAGCCAACCTGCGCTTGACCGAAATCCATGCTTAGTCGCTTTATTAGGGCTAATTAGGATGCCGTTGCAGTTGCCGCTGAAGCTACCACCAGCCAGCGCCCCTTTGCAGCGGCCTCAATTTGGGATGGCTAATACCAAGGCCCACGCTCCCAATCACATTCGCATTCGCATTCACACTCGGAGGCCCAGATGCGACGTATGTTTAGTCATTCCAGTGTGCACATTTGAATAATTAATTTGTGCAGTGGTAATTTACACGTTGGTCGACTGGCTTTTTGGTCGGCATTCGGTCAGAAGGCCGTTGTGGATCGCTCTCAGGCATGGGCCCGGGACTGGGATCGGGCTCTCCGGTTATTTGATTATTTTGCCAGGGCAATTGCATTCGTTTGACCGGACCGGGGGCTGGACTGTTGTGACATGGCATATTTATGACATTGGTAATTAAATTTAATTGTTGCACTTCTCTGGCAACGCCCTCGTAACTAAGCCCACTAACGTCCTGCGCGCACGCATCCGCGTTTTGGTTACGAGTATCCTTGGGCAGCTCTTTGCCTTTCTCGTGGCCTTTGCGGCTTGTCAACGGGGCATTGGCTTGTGTTTTTTATTTGCCGGAATATGTTCTCCTCTCGGTTTTATTGTCGCCCTTGTCCATTATGGTTTGACACACTCTACTTAGTCGCTTTGCGTGCTGCCTCTGATATGATAAGGTTAGTTAGGGCCACCGACTGCCGGATCCCGACTCCAATCCCTCCTTTCGGGCTGTTGGCCAGTTGTCGGCTTAATTGCAATGCTAAACGCTAAATCATAGCCTCACGTGCACCACGTAATTAGCTTAAATTGTAAGCTGTCGTTATGGGGGGCACTCGCAGGTGTGTGTGAGTGTAAATGCAGGCGAGTGCGTGTTGCTAATTAGCCGCGGGGTCAGTTGCACTCAACTATAAGCTGTTTTCATCTCAGCCACCATTTTCCATAACAATACATAACAATTTCACTAGCCCATTGTATTGATTAGATATTTCATTTCGCAAAAGTCCAACATGATTGTAATTAACTTCTGTTTGGGGTTAAGTAAACTTGCTTATGGGAATGGACTTGGATTTAATCTGGATTTATTATCTTAGAACAAGAAATTAAATTTTAAAAATGATTTTCGGATAGTTAAATGAGAAATAAGATATTATTTTATGTTATTTCACTACACATTTAATATATGTATGAATATAAATGAGTTTCTTGTTCAGCTTTAATAATTATTTTACTAAAGAACATATCATTTGAAATGCATTATTTGGACTAGGCTCATCAAATCCTCTCCGACGGGCAGCAGAAAATATTTGATCAGAATCATTTGAACTGGCGTTTGTGGTTGGTAGTTTA